GTCAATAACATCAGATTTGCTCTTTAGAGATTTTCTGTTGATCTTTCTTTTCTTCTTAGACATAATCTACAAGTGTGTAGACATGCAAGACATGTTTGGTGACACATTCAAAACAGATAATGCAATTCATTCACAGAAAATAATGACACTTGGCAAAAAAGCAAAACAAACAAACAAAAAAACTGTACAATTTTTTCTGATACCTTCAACCGAAGTCTTTGCTAACTGATTCTGGGAAAGAGCAGTACCCACAGAATGTGCTCCTGGAGTGGAGCTCAACAAGCCTTTCAAATGTGTCAAAGCAAAGTGGTTTTGTTTGTTTGTTTGTTTGCTTTCCTTTCTAATTAAGTGGAAACACTCTCTTGGAGCAACTACTCTAGTGGTAGAAACCATCTTCTAAAACCTACTAACATTCACGGGTATTTCCACTGTTAGAAATGGCTCACACCACTATCATTGCAGTGGGCATAAAGTAGTGTTGACAACCTGTGTAGACTGGTGTTAAGTACTCTCTTCCCAATCTACAGGTAAGTCCAATTCTGTCCAAAGCACTTTGCAACTTCCACAAAATTGTTTAGGCTGTGTTTTTGTTTTAGGTTTCTGTAATAACAACATATAGGGTCTTCTTTTGATTGATACACATTCCATTGCAGTGATCCTCTAATGTGTAGACTGACACAAAACAAGCATATTAAGCCTATACCTATGATATAAATTATATAAATCATATATATATTGGTGTCAAAACCACAGCAAAATGAGTATCTTCCTCAATTAGCACACTAGCACAATGCTCTGATAGAAAGGGATGCTAACCCACAATCCTGACAACATGCAAAGGTATGCCTTTTCTACTGGAATCAATGTCATTGTTCTGTCTTATGAATGAAATTTCACTAAGGCTGAAGGTCTCCTACCTCCAGTTCATCCAGTTGATTTTTGGCTCTAGAAATTGAAACTAATCCATAGCTATCCCTATAAACTACTTCTTGCCATTTGCAAGATCCTTGGAGAATATGAATACAACTATCTTTCATTGGGAGTAAGTGGGAAAAACAAATCAGACAAAAAGCTCAAAGTCATTCCATCAAAATTTTGCAGGTTCAAACAGAAATCATCCTACTCATCAATCTGCTTGGCTTTGGTGATATCAAGGGTAACAAAGGGAAGGTGTCCCTTGTAGACTGTTCTAGTCGACCTAAAGAAAATCACTTATGCTGGGACCTACTTGTTTTTGCAACCAGCTTTTGCAACTGATCCAGTTATTTTTGCAACTAGCTGGTCCAGTTTTCTCATGTGATCCAGGCTGTGACCAACAAGATAGTAGTACCATCACCTCTCAGGCTTCTTTGTGAAATCAGGTCAGTTCAACCAATGCTACCAGCCTGATAAGATAATTCTCAGAGAAGTCAGCTCTGCAAATGCAGCTGCCATTTTGCTCCAATCAAATTCGCTTTATGCAAGTACAAACTCTCCAAGCAGACATGCCTGTACAAAGGATATCTTTCCTCCCTGAGTTTGTCAATTTTGATATAAATTACTAAAGCAAAGCCCACCACCTATAAAAGCAGAGTGATTGTTACTTGGAATCATCTTTTGCACGTATTAGGCATTTTCTCTAGTCAACTATTAAACAAACAAACAACAACAACAACAACAAAAATACATTTATAGAATTCATACAAATTCTAAGCACAGCTACAGGAACTCGGTGCGTGGAATTTCAGGTAATTAATATTTAGAGTTATTTAAATAAGCTGGTTAGTACTGACTTTTCCCCTTCTCCCTCAGAGTGAAAAAGAAAGTACTATTGCATTATTCTTAGTGGTACAGAGACATTATAATGAATACAATACAAAGAGTTCTTTTAGCTTTGCAGGTGCCAATAAGCAATCCCAAGGGAATATTCAAGAATCCTTGCTGTGTTTAGTTTTATTACAGGAAAACTGTATGATGTAAGTGCCTTTTCACTCTCTTTCAGCTATGGTACCTTTAGTTGTCCTGCTTATACATACAAAACACCTATGACTCTCCCTTTTCTTAGATTTTCTAATATATTTAAGTAGAGGCTCAAAACAGCTTGTATACTACTTCACATGCACAGGAAATGTTAAAAGAACATTATGAAAGTTTGCTAAGTCAAGAACTCTTAGTTGCCTTAATTGTATACTTTTATAGGCATTATGATACTGTCTTTAGTTATACAATGACTTTTTTTTTCTAAAAGGCAACATTAACGGTAGTGTTTCTTCATCTCAGAATGCTTATTTAACACAGATCTTTCAATTTTTGGTTTTCTAGAGAATTAAACAAACAAACCAAACTCCAAGATCTTTTGTACGGCATCATACAGATTGCAGTACTATTGACAACTATCAGGGTTGAAATTTTTAGTTATTGAAAGGAGATGGCTGCCACTTCAGTTAGTATGTAGCAGTTAGTACTAGTAAGCTATCCATCTCCATATGGTTGACAAGTAGCAGGGAAATAGGGCACCATTTCACGGTTGGTGTAAGTAGATCTAGGACCAGACAGTCAAAAAAAATTGGGACTGGCGGTGTTCCCTGCATTCCCATCTGACTCTGCTGCAACTTCCACAATATTAACTTTTGTTAGTATGAGTAATCATGTAGCAATGCTATAAATAAGACCACCTTGCTGATCTTATTGAACACTACCTCTACAAAATACTATCTAGTGCCTGGTCAGATCCGTGAACTGCATCAACTCTTATTGTGGGACCACAATCGTCAGTGCTGAAGCAAGAAAAGACAACCAGAGAACACATGTTGATCCTTTTCAGTGGCAGTGCAGTGTGGTCTTAAATCCACTTAAGCCAAGTATAAAGCCACATAATGAGACGCCTGCATGTTAGTGATTTTCATGAGTACTTGCCGACACAGAAGAATGTTAAGAGTCAAGAAACACAGGGTCAGGCCTAAGCACTGCCAGGGTGTGCTCTGCTAGGCAGAGTTTTTTTCTCTGTTCACCATGGCTGGCTGTTTACTGTCCCCATCCATTCAAATCTGTCTTTCAGGTCTTTGTTTTCTTTATAATCTTAGGATGACACCATTATAATCTTAGGAGACACCATTGTTGACTTGTTGTCAGCTAATATATGTCTTCAGTTCCACAATTCTTCTTGCAACTCTAGCCTCCCCACTCCCCAGCTCCTGTTCTAATCAGTTTTTGGCTGTGGCTCACAACCAGTTTCCTGCCCTGGTGAGTGTGCTTAGCCATTCCCAGGCTGCTCTTGCTCCCCACACCCTTTTCTGTTTAACTCTCTTCGAACATATGCAAAATCTGTCTCTTCCCCCAGTCCCACTATCAATTTCTACCAGCTTTTTGTCTGCTTCCTTGCCATCTCCCAGCCTTTCATCCTTCAAACCAGAATTCTTGGTCCAGTTTCTTTATGTAGATAGTCTCAGGATCTCCTTCTACTTTTTGTTCTATTTCAGCCTTCCTATTCCCTTGCTATTTTTGTTTCAAATCTCCCTTTCCTGAAGCCGATTTCCTTTTCTCAATTTGCCAATAAGAAAAACCTGTTCCCTGGTCCCCAAAGTCTACCCAAGTTCCCAAGCAATATATTTCCAAGCTTTTGCTACGTATTACATTTCAGACATTTCTTTTTTTTCTATGTTTCATATGAATTCTTTCCTTAATACTGACCTGGCAGTATAAAAACACTGAGAACACAAAGAATGGTCTTCCTGGGTTTAACTCTGTTACCTGCTCCTACAGTGCTCTACAGCAACCTGGAGTAGTGGCAGGGATTTTCCAGCTTAGCACATGAGTGTGGAAAAATTCCTAAGAGACTGTGGCTGTCAAATTATGACCAAGCACTGCAGAGCATGTGCAAAGGATGGGTTTCATGAAAGACATCATTGTGACAGTTCATCAGGGAGATTAAAAAAGGTTCATCCCTGACACAGATGCTATTTAGTTGCCAAATTTTAAGACCTTCATCCACATCATTAAACAATTATGAGCTTCTCAAAAAAAAATAATTTTAGTATTTTAAGTAGTATCACAACAATTTAAAAAAATACATTAAAAAAAAAAGCATAATTTAATAACTGGTAATCTATTTGTTAGGTCCCTCTGAATAAAACTGGGAAAATAGTACATGATACATTATATATTTTTCCAATGAGTTTTTAAAAAAAGCTTGTTCATATTCATCTAAACTTGTTACTATAATGGTGAGAGGGAAACATTCCTTTAGTCACTAATAATGGTGTTTTGTGGTTTTATTTTTGGAAATATTGTATAGCTGTTTGTCACAATGATTTAAAGGCTAACTTATTTTATTTATTTTTCCATAGCTGAGAATATACAGACTGTCATTCACTGCATTTCATCTGAGATGGTTTCTTAAAAACCATCCTGGCTTCTTCAGATCTTGTTGACTTGAGATTACCTGATTATCATGTTTGTCTTTACAGGTGAAAATTACCTATTACGCCAATTAGTTATGTTTTTACTTGCTATATAGACATGTAAAATAACACTCACTCTTAAAAGGAAATTTCTTACTTGGGAAACAAAAGGGTGTTTATTTTTGGTAGCCTGATAAATTATAGCTTATGTGGTATTTTCTATTAGAGTTTCTCTAATGACTTATAAACCTGTTAAATAATTTTAGACAAATTTTACAGAAGGACAGAGTTCTCAGAGCTCCCTAAAATGTAGTGGAAGTCAGCAGCAAGGTAGGTAATCCAATCATATTACTGCTGAGAGAAAGTCATGTTACTATGGTGTGAATTTTTAGGAATAAAGGACCAAAACTCATAGAGAAGCAAGCTTCCTTAGTACTCCCCTTGCTCATGAAAGAATTTCTGCATAGTTTAATGCACATCTCAAGTTATAGAAAGTAAATTTTAAAATGTCATCTTTGCTGTAGGCTGCCACAGTAGTGGCGTGACATGCTCCATTTTTTTCCCCACTTTTATTTTACTTCAAAAAACATAAAATCCATCTAGATTCAAATCTGGACTTACCCTTTTCCAAAAGGTCTGTTTCAGTTCGTGTTTCTGTGGGAAATTTCTTCTGAAAAAAAAAAATATGTTGTGGTTTCTTTTCCTCTGTGTTAGAATAAAACTAACCAGATCTAACATTCCAGTAATTTTGAGCAAAGACTTAAAATTTGGCAAGGTTGTTACCCTTCCATGGAAAATTCACTCAGTAATTATTAAGCCAAATGTCATTCTTTGGAAAAGCCTAGAGACAGTTGCTAGCTAAATATGATAAAGACTCTATCTGTACTAATACTCTTCTTTTTCATAGCTTTGTGTAACTTACCCTCCAAAGCTTCTTGGCATATTTTTGCCCAAAGTTATAGGAAAACCTAAATTCAATTTCTTCTAAATCTACTGCTTCTTGTTGTGGTATATATTGTATTTCCCTGCACATAGAAATGCTCATAGTAGGAAAACAATCCCTTCTTTGCTGTCAGTGATTCCCTAGCATCAACTTCAATCCTGTATTTTTTTGGTATAAATCCAAATTTATGGGCTTTTTTTTTTTTTTTTTTTTTTTTTTTGTGCTATCATTTTTCAGCAACTTTAAGTATAGGTACATCTCGCATTCAGTAAGGTTATAAAGAAACACTGTTTAGGCTGCAGTTTAGTAGCTAAGCTTTGTGGCAATCATTTTCCATTCTTTTTAGTAGTGTTGTCAATGAGGATTTGTAACTGGGATTTACTTGAGGGATGTCACAAAGAAGCTTCCTGCTAGATAGTGCATTGTTAGGTTTGTAACCGAGGCCATCTGAGACACCAGCATTCTAATCAGACAGGTTTATCTTTCTGATTGCATAGGATTTTTTGTGTGTTAACTTGTCTATCTGAGCAATTGGTTCAGGAGAGCTACCCCAATAAAGAGTGGATTCCACAACATTAGTTTTACTTGTTCATAGGCTATACTGATGTTATTTACACGATGCCAGTCAAGATTCTTGTACTTTAAAATATATACCTACTTTATTGCAATGTAGTAACTACAGAGCTGAGGAATGAAGAAGAAAAGAGGCCTACATGCATACATCTAATTGAGAAAAGGTGAAATGTGTAGTTTCCCAGGTCTGGAAGACTTACTTGCCAGCACACCATCACTTCAAGTTCTGCTGCTCAGATCTCCAATCATATTTCAACTCTTCTTGTTGCCAGAAACTTGAATTAAGGTAAAATACCACAGATTCTTTTTAAACTTCAGACCACGTTGCTGGTCCAGGTTATAACACAGCCTCACAGAAAGTCATATTAGCACAAGTGAACTGGGCATCTAACTCCTATGCAAAAGCAGGAACAAATCGCCCAGGGCAGGGGCGGATAAAAGCACTTTAAGCTGGTTTGGCCACCATGAGAAAGGTTTGTACAGTAAAGCTGAAGAGGGACTACAGGAAAGAACACAGTAACTAATAGGCTATGAGACAAACAACTCCGAATCATTTGCAGTAAGAGTACTGTATGGGAGAGACCTAGATTCTTTACTTGATTTCAAATGGATAGTAGCTGAGAAAGGGACCTCAGCCCCTTTGGAGTAAATACAAAATAGCTCATACATACCAATAGGCAATGCATTGAATGAAATGAATGTCGATGGAAATGAATAAAGATTTTCACAGTTAGTTCTTGGGGGCTGAGACAACCTGTCCACCCATCCATCACCTTCCCTCCTTCAAAGTCTATCAGTTTTCTAAACAGTTTCACTATCAACAGGGAATTTAAAGCACTCTCAATAATAAAATCAGCTATTTCCTGAGGAGAGCTACACCTGAGGAATGCCTTGTGTCAGAACACATGCAAATCTGAAAGATGTACTGTAGGCATTGGATATTGGAAGTGCCATAATCAAATGTTCAAAGTTTTTACAGCTAATTTTGCTTCAGTCCCTAGCATTTCATATTGTTTTCAAGACAATGCATTTAGGTATATAAATAAAGCATCCTGATTATAAAAATAAGTTCATTTGAGCAGAGAGGCAAGTGAAAGAAATTATCTTAAACTTGCACTTTTAATTCTTTCCTTCCCTAGGCACACCAATTTTTAGAATAATCTGGGTATGCACACTGATTGTAAAGCATTTTGAAATATTGGCTCTTAAACCTGAATCATTGCTTTCAGGGCAAATGTTCCTGGAGGAGCTCCTGTAGAATGCAAACAACACACATAAAAACTTTAAAATGGCTAGACTCGAATTCACACTATCCAAGTGCTATTTGGTTTGATGGCTTCAGCATGTTACTGTAAGCCACATATTTATTCCAGTATAAGCCTGTCTGCAAACACTTTGGCTCATAACTGGACTCCACACCTGTTGTGTATTTACAAATTATTTTATTTGGGTCATCACCTGGATTTGACTCCCCTCTCCTTTTCCTATTCAATTTGGAGTCCTGTGGATGGATTTAAAACCATCCATGAGGAGGCTTAGCATTAAAATTTGGATCAAGATAAAAAAAAATAATATTATGACACTGATGTCACATATGTATTTTTAAGGAACAGTGTTTTTAGAGTGTCTTGATAAAACCATCTCAATTTTTTGACTTTGTCTGTATCCCCAGTAAATTATAACTGTAATACTGTAACAGAGAAAGTAACAGATGCAGGTAATCACCACAATTCACCTTTGTTATATATGCTTATTAGGGACAATAATAATAGGTAAGTACGTAATTTGTGTAGTTATAATTTGAGGTATTTTGAAAATGAGCATCATTTGTATCTCATGCCATTTCAACCACTCTCGTATGTGCTCAGTCTTATCCACAATGGGACCTCAGCCCTCTCATTTTGGAGCTGAAAACTCATTTCCTCAGCACAACATTAAAGCATTTCTTGATCCCATAACCACTTATTCCAGAAGCAAGGAGACAAAGAGTATCTATAGTTCCACAGGAGTGCAAAGGTCATCTACCTGACTGCAAATATATTGCGCGGATATACCCTATAACATGATGTGACACGAAAATAGGGAAAGGGAGAAACTTTCTACTTCTTCTCTGATAGGATGGCCCCCACTGAGATGATCCCTCACATTCTTTTTTTCCTGGGGAGTAATGTAATAGTCTTTGTTGCTTGGCACACAACAATTAGATACACACTCAGGTCTGTAACTACAGCACCATTTTATTCCAGTATCCATTTTATTCTAATATTCTTCTGATACTAACTATCTTTCAGTTATGAAGAAAATTACCTGTCTTCAGATGGATGCTCAGTCTTAGCAGACTACAGCAACCATGTGAATGACATTCTTTCACTTTCTTAGACTATTCCAGTGATGCTATCTCATGTCTAGAGAACATACCTGACTAGCAGCAGCACCTTTGCTGTCTATCACAAGTCCCCTCAATGGACTTCCATTGCGGAAATAGTGTAATGCCTCTATTTTTAAATGTATAGCTAAGAGACTTTGCCCCTTGGAATATGTGTTAGTCCACATGGCTCTTGGGCACACACCAGTTAAGAGTTCCTAACGAGTCTGGTAAGGACTGAGTCTAGAAATTAATTAGGAGGATATTCTTTGTAGTGGTCAGTACTCTATTGACTACAGGAGAAAAGGAGAGAAGTAGGGTGAGAACTTGGCAGTCAGTAGACTTCATTGATTAAACAGAGCTTGTTTCTTATGATCTACTTGTAGGCAGCCTGCTTGAGGTCACTGAGCTTTAAAAATGACTGTTTTAAAGCTCTAATTTTGCAAGCTCATCTGGTAGGTTGATTCTTGATAACACATGTAGCCCCATTAACAGCACAGGGATTTTGTGCAGGTGTAAGAACCTTCCCTAGAGAATCAGCCTTGTAGTCAGCTGCAAAGCTCATTGTTGAAATAAATTATTTTTCAGTTACAAAGTATGTAATTATCCTACACATAATAAAATTCTCTGTACATCCTTTGGAGAATTCTGATCTATTCACTGGAACATGTTGATTTCTAATGCCAGTTATAAAATCAAAAGCACTGACATCACAAATAATTATAGAGATGAACTGAAATACAGTTGTAAAAAAAGCTAATGGGTCATGGGTGTGCCATTTCAGTAGTGCTGCTAGATAAAATGTGTTTGTACTATTTCAATCTTTAATTAGGGGGAATACAATTTTACTGAGAACTAGACTCATTGTGGAGTTTGAATCTTTTTCTCAGTCTTTTCACTTCCCAGAGGGAGTGGAGACTGTCCTTTTTAAAGTGGATAGGAGCCTCCTCCCTCCTAGCCTGGCTTAGTCATTTTCTCTGACTTTGCAGAATTGTGACTTATACAAAGTCATAGAGAGCCAACGTCAGAGCTGCAAATAGTTCTTCCATTCTGATCTGACTATTAGACCAGTGTTGTAACAGTGCATTGGATCAAAGGTAGGTGTGTTCTGAGGAGCCTGTCTTATCAGACATTTGGTAGATTTTAATACCATGTTGCATGCTTATGGAGTAAGGCTCCTTTGAGAAAGGTCTAACTAACAAGCAATGGGTAAGTTACTTATTAAAAATGCACTAAAAAGATCATGAGCTATTCTTTTATAATTCCCTAATATTTTAGATACAATCTTTGGCTAAAGATAACAGAAAATGCTTCAAAAATTCCCAAAGTATTTTTTTCGTCTGAAAACAGGATTTGAGATTCATGAAAAAAAAAATATATATAGTCTCAATTTTCTGCCACATGGAAATTAACTCAGGATATTTTTCAGCCAACTCAGTTACATTTCATTTACATTTCCTACAATAAATGTGGTGAATGATTTGTCTATGAAGATTTCCCAAAGTCTGTGAAGATTTCCGTAACATCCAGATGGTCATTGTAATCTTATCTCTGAAATACAACCAAAATGTTTTCATCATATTTATCTTTGGCCAGGGCCTGGTAGCCATTACAAGTAACAATTACTACACTAATAAGAAAAAAAAAATGATCTGGTTTCACTTCATCTCATTTTAGTTATCTAAAAGTTAGGTATTAACTCTGAGCTAGTCACATAGGTCTCCCTTACAGTCAAGGGATAGATCTAGGAACTTCAGTAAGGGCTCAGTCAGTGCCTTCAGACATTTAA